GGCACTGTCATCCGTCCAGTCCACCCGTCCAGTCTACATACCCCAGAAACCGACGTCATCGTACACCTCTGTTTCCCTGGTAGAGAGAACAGGTGGGTCAGTGAGGGTTACCCTGGTCTATGACCCCTCCACCTCAATCCTCCATCCCAGTCAGGGCCATTACTCACAGGGGCAGGAGAGCTGTTCTGGGCACGTAGCCATCTGTGAAGAGAGCAGGGGTGGGTGAGTTCTCCGCCCTCCATGGTGGTGGCCCATCTCCCCAGGGCTGCCCGGGCCGGGCTCACTCACACTTGCCCTTGGTGTCCCGGCATAGCATCTCCTCCTTGTTGGTGAACTCAATCACCTCCAGGATCTCCCCACGCCGAATCCCCAGATGCTTGCCACCCGCACGACGAGTCTTGGCATTGGGGTCGATCATCATCCTTGTCTGAATCACGATCTCCCCCTCAAACTGGGGAGGGAGACATTGGTTAGAGTTTTTGCCTCTGCTGCCACCCCAAGAACCCCTGGCTTCTCTCTGAGGATGGAATCTGTGGGGCTTTGGTCAAGCCCGACCCTCCCAGGGACTCTTGCTCTGCTTGGTGTTCATACCTTGAACTTCTTCCGGAACTCCCTCTCAGCTTTCTCTGCCTTCCGGATCTGCTTCAGGGTCTTCAGGTCTGTGGGCATCAACTGCTGTGGCTGGAGGGCCTTCTCCTTCCTGAGCCCCCCAAGGAATTGGGTGCTCATGAGCAAGGCATGCTTCTTGGGGATCCCCTTTTCTTGTCCTCCCGGAGCTCAGCCCCACCCTGTCCCATGCCCTTTGCCCTGTGGTACCTGAGCTCTGGGTCTTGTGGTGGCCTCCTGGGGGGTTGCTGGGGAGATGGCACTTCATCTGGGGCGGTCAGAATGGCATGTTAGGGCAGGGACTGTTGGTTCGGCCTCTGGACCTGGTGGCTTGATCTTCCCTGTGTCAGTTCTCAGGACGTCGGTCCCCTCCCCACCTTCTCCCTGGGCCTTTCTCGTGGGTTGTGAGTTCTAGTGGATTCCCTTTCATTTCTCAACTCCTGCCACGTACTCGGCATGGCGGAAACTGTTTATCACTCATTTCAACACTCACAACAGCTTTATTGATGACGGTCATCCCACCTCGCTGAGTAGGAAATAAAGGTTCAGAGAGGTGAGGCAACCTGCCCAAGGTCACTCAGCTGTTTAAGAGGCAGGATTTATTTGTTAAGCTTTTGAGGCCATTTCACCCCTGCCTCAGAGAGAGGTTAGGTTCTGGGAACTGAAAGGAGATTTAAGTCAAAAAATAAGGCAAAGAAAAGCATTTCCAAGGCAAACAAAGTCCGCCTCTGAGAAGGGCTGTTGGAATGGAGTGCTTGGACTGGCCTTGCTGGTGATGAGGTTCTCTGGACTTGGGGGGGCTCCCAGGTGAGGGCCGACTTCCTGGCAAATGACCAGCTTTCCAGGTCTGAGTCCTGCTCGCCAAGGGTTTGGCTTTCAGCAAGAGCCTCATGAAAACCAGGTGAGTGAAGGATCCAGAAGCTGAAACCCCCAGCTTTTCGCAGTCGTTCCTGAGGGACCTGAAGTGCTACTCTGGACATTTTGGGTTAGCAGAACCTCCTGTCAAGCTGCCCACTGAAGGGTGACACTTACCTGCGCCTTCAGACACTAAGCTTGCCTCTAGCATCAGCCTGGTGCTTGGATAACAGTGCCAACCACAGTCCCACCCAGAACATTCCCTCAAGCTCCCCCTGCCTCTCCCAGAGGCCGCCCAGGCAGGAGATGGTCACTCAGCTGGGAGCAGTCTTGGCTTTACCCCAGGGACCCTATAAACCTGCCACAGCCGTTGGAGCACAGCCCTGGGTGCGGCAGTGTGGAGCAGACCCTGGTGTTCCTGTGGCCTGGCTTCCTGGCAGTGTGGGGAAAGGGAAAGGGTGGGCCTTGCTTGCAAGGCTGCTGGAAGTGCAGTGGCCAGAAGTGCTCCCCACGTTCACATCCCCAGGAGTGGCCCCCAGACCCAAGCCACAGAGTCTCACTGGAGCGGAAGCAGGAGGGGCCCCGTCAGGAAGTGCTGTGCTAACAGGAGTGTTGCAAGCAGCCCCTGGGGAAAGGCTGGGAGAAGCAGAGCGCAGGTGGGAGCAACAGCTGTAGAGGCAGCAGACTCTGAGGAGTGGGCTGGTGAGGAAGGAGTGGTAGCGTCCCAAAGGCACCCCTGATGAAAGGTTCCCCTGCAGGAGACCCCTCCCAAGATGGGGCAGGGAAGCTGCCTGGGAGCAGAGGGCCTGGGCCACTGCGTACTGGCTGTGTGAGCTGGGGCAGGTCTCCTGGTTCTCAGGCGCCCACGTCTGTCTGTAAGATGGGCATGACCTCGCCTCAGGGGTGGAGTGTGGTGCACGTTCGGGAAGGGGCTGGCATGGGAGCCAGCTTTGTTTTCACACCAGGTTGGTGAATGTATTATCCCTGGAGCTGGGACTGCAGACGTGAGGTGTCTGCCACACCCCGTCTCCAGCCGGTGCCTCTTGAGTTCAGGCCCAAGTCCCACCTGGACATCCCTCAGGCACCCCCAACACAACAGGTTTCAGGTGGACCCTGACTCCTCTCCCTTACTCAGGGATGCCCCTATTCTGCACACGGGTGCCCAGCTCGAAACCCAGGCTTCGACCACGTCATGTGCTTGCTCACTCTCATCCCTGGTTAGTACACCGCCAAGTGCCCTTCCTGATTCTTCCACTGCTCACCATGCCTTCTGTCTCACCCTGGGCCACACACCTGCCCTGGTTGTGGTCAGGCTGTTGGCCTCTGGGCTGCCCTTCCTCACACTGTTCCACCTACCAGGAGCCGGTGTGATCTTTCTGAAAGGCCCTCCCCCCTTTCTGCTTTCTGTCCTGGCACTGCTTCAATCCAGCGGGGATATGGACTGTCACTTGGCCTAACACCAGCAGCGTGGCAGAAAATGCCCTGGTGACAAATGTTCCCCAGGTGCCTTGGCAGCCTGGTCTGGCTGAGGGCCCCACTCCATCACCAACAAACCTCTGCCCCTGGGGCTGGGGCTGGAGTCATCCGTGGGCTCCACGTCATCATACAGCTCGTAGACCTCATCTGCATCCCTGTGGGGATACCTGAAATGAGGGCCCGTCAGCCCTGTGACCTGTGCCCATGCCCCCTGACTTGCCACACTCACTGTGGGATGTCTGCAAGGTGTCGAGCCTGGACGTGGATCCCAGCAGAAGAGGAGGCCCTTGGCAGAGCTGGGGAGAGATGAGAGCAGTGGGGAATCAGGGAGGCAGACACTACCTGTGAGCCTCTACCCGTTCCTTTCTGCCTGGGCCGCCCTGACCCACCTGTGTCTGCTGCTGAGATTCTCCAAAAGCTCTGGATGTCCCTGGGGCTCGGGGGCCGTGGTGGCTTGGCTGGAGGGGGGCCCAGGCTGCTGACCGGGGGCAGAGGCCTCCTCCGGGGTGGGTGGCCAGGTCTGAGGCCCAGCCTCGACCCTTCACTGCGGGTGAGAGCTCCTAATTTCTGCTGCCTGGCTCCCAACCCCGGGCCGAGCAGGAACCTAGCACCGGAGCCTGCCACTGCGGTGGGCAGTGAGCTCTCTGAAACGGAGCCTGGAAGTAGGGGCTTTCTAGGGAGGTCTTTGAGGAACTCGGCCTGTGGGTGCTTCCTGGGCAGAGAACTGGGCTCAGGCTGTGAGAATTTGCGGGGAGGCCCCCGGCACTCAGGCTGTGGAAACTTTGGGGAGAGCAGGTTGAACTCGGGCTCTGAGGACGTCCTGGGGAGGCCGCCCAGCTCCAGCTCAGGCTGCGGGGGCTTCTTGGAGAGCGCTTTGAATTCGGGCTGCTGTGGCATCTTGGGAAACACGTTGACTTCAGGCTCTGAGGACGTCCTGGTGAGGTCACCAAACTCAGGCTGCAGAGGCTTGGGGAGGTCATTCAGCTGAAGCTGTGGGATCTTTCTGGGAAATGCACTTAGGTCAGGCTGCAAGGAGTCCCTGGACTCGGCCTTCGAGTTGGGTGCCTGAGGGACCTCGCTGAAATTGGACTGTGGCAGGGACTTCTTAGGGAAGCCACCAACCCGAGGCTGCGGGGGCTTTCTGAGGTTTGCACTGAACTCAGGCTGCGGGGGCTTCTTCGGAAGGGTGCTGAAGCTGGGCTGTGAGGAGGAGGGGTGGGGCTCACTGGGCTCTGGCTTTGGGGGGAGTGCCCCGGGGGTCTCACTGAGCTCGGGCTGCGGCAGGGACTTCTTAGGGAGGCCACCGGCCTGAGGCTGTGGGGGCTTTTTGGGGAGCCAACTGAACTCAGGCTGGGGGTGCTTCTTGGGAAAGGTGCTGGACTCGGGCTGCAAGGGCTTTGGGGCGGCCACACTGGCCTCGGGCTGCTGGAACTTCTTGGCGCGTGCACTGAACTTGGGCTCCACGGAGGGCCTGGGGGTGTTGCCGAGCTCAGACTGTGGGGGCTTCTGGTCAGGCGCGCTGGGCTCCGGCTGCGAGGCCGTCGGAGGGGCCTCGCCGACCTCAGGCTGCGAGGGCTTCCTGGGGATCCGAGTGGCCTCGAGCTGCGGGGCCTTCCTGCAGAGTTCACTGAGCTCGAGCTTGGAGGGCTTCTTGGGCAGGTCGGTGACCTCAGGCTGCGGGGGCTTCTTGGGGTGCTCACTTAGCCCAGGCTGTGGAAACTTCTTGAGTTTGTTGAACTCGGGCTTCGGGGGTTTTTTGGGGAGTTCGTTGGTCTCAGGCTGAGAGGCCTGGAACTTTGCTTGAAGGCTCCGAAAGTCCTGATGACTCCCCTAGGGGACACAGAGTCAGTAAGGCAGGGACATACACACAGCGGTCCTGGAGAGATGGCCACGGGACACGAACACAGTCACAGACACATAGCCCGCTTCTCCTGGCTCCCGTTCTGTGAGCTCCTCTTCCCCACCCTCTCTCTCGCCTCTGCCCTTGGCCCTCTTCTCTGTTGGCCAAAGACTCCCAGCCTCCCCATGAGTCCCAGGCTCCCGTAAACTACTACACCCTTCTGACCTCCCTGCTTAGGCCTGGACTCACCCAACCTCACCCGCCCCCTCAGGACCTGGCCTACCCCTCAGTCAGTGGTGCCTTCCAACATCCTCCAGCCCCTCCTGCACCACTGTCCTGGGCCAGAGGGGCTCGTCCCCTCTTGCCTGGATTGTAAAAGGCTCCTCCAGGGTCTCTTGCCCCTGCATCCTGCACCCCGATCCCTGGTCTGTCCCCTCACAGCAGCCAGAGATCTGTTAGCTCGGAGTTGGATGGTGCCCCTCCACTCAAAATCTGGCAATGTTCTTTCATTTCCCAACAATAAAAGCTCAAGTCATGAAGGCCCTGAGGGGGTAGATCCGACCTCCCCCTCCCCGCTACTGCCTCTCCCCAATTCAGGGACCTTTGCTCTGCCCGTGACCTACCTGGGACACTCCCCCAACTCCTCTCCTCTTCCTCCAAGTCTCTGCTCCCATAGTCTTTATCAGAGAAGCCTTCCTCCCAGACCACCCTAATTACTAAAAAAACAAAACAAAACCCCACCCCTCTTCCCGTATGCTCCATCCTCCCCTACCTGCATGATTTTTCTCTCAGTACCTGCCACCCTGTATCACACAAATGATTTTCCTTAATACTGTTTTGTAAATGTGTCTTGATGGTTTTGTTTTGGGTTTTGGGGGTCTCTCTACTGCCCCTTCCCCCAGCCCCATGCATTGCTGTCCTCCCAGGGCCTGGCACGCCGTAGATGCTCAGTAAACATTTGTTGAACTAAAGAATATACCAGGCACAAAGACAGGTGTATACTCAGTCGCATCCAGTCTGACTGTCATAGTCTCATGTAGACAGAAACACAGACGGAGAAGACAGAGACCTGGAGGCATATGTGGGTGCCAGGGTTTCACAGTCCCAGACACCCGGATGACATTCACGGCTGCCCACGAGGACAGGCAGGCAGGCTCCCAAGCACAACCTTGGCCAGGCACACGCACCATCTGTAGCACACACAGTCCGTCCCGGTACCGTCTTGACTGGCCCCAGGCCACCATCGGTCACAGACACAGGAGACGTGCAAGTCAGGCCTGCTCTGACCGACAGATTACCCCAGAGGTGGCCCTGCCACAGGTCCCCAAGCCTGGCTTCCCTTGGGGTCTAGGAGGCTGGGGGAGGGGAAGGGCAGGACCTCATGGACTTTGCCTCTCTCTGTGCCTCACTCTCCCCGCCATCCGGAGAACAAGAAAGATGGCGATTCCTGCCTGGGGCCTGAAACACTTCTGTGAAAGCCCCTCCATCGGGTGGGTTGGGGCAGCGGCCCCGGGGTGACCCACAGGGCCAGATAGCTCAGGGTCAGCAGGTCATGCCTTTCGGAACCACTGGGGTTGGGAGCAGGCAGCAGGTGCATGACCTACTTTGGCACCCACAGGAAGCCCCTGCTGCTCACCCTGGCTGCCTGTTACCAGGTTGCTGTTCAGGCTGACCTGGGGGAGGGGAGGCATCTGGGTATTCCCACCTGTCCCGCTTATAGTCACAGCCTCAGCTGGCCACGGGCCCCTTGGAGCCCGAGCTGTCCTCGAGGTGTGTCCTGGCCCAGGTGCCTCTGGGCCTTTGTGTCGGTGCCAGACAGCTTTCCTGCCCCTCTTCCACTTGCTCCACTTTTGGAGTATGCCCTCTAATTTCCACCTCTGGCATCCCTTGCCTCGGGCCAGTGGAGGCCTCTCCCAGAACTCGGGGACTCACTCACCATGGCTGCAGGCGGGTGATGGGCCAAGGGCCGAGTGGGACCCGAGCCAGGGCTGCTGCCTTCAGGAAGTGACTGTGGCTTCTGCTCCACAGGGTGGGGTCTGCTGGCCGTGCAGCAGGGAGGGCAGAGGAGGAAGGAAAGGAGGTGGGGACGGCCCCAGCCTGTCCTCAGATCCTGTCAGGCGCTTCAGTTCCTGTCCTGCCAGTCGCCCCATCTGTGCTTTGTGCCTCGGATGTCAGCACTAGTTTCTGGACTCTGCTACTGTCCCCCTCACTCCCAGCCCCTGCCCTGCTGTGTGCTGGCCTTGGACTCCAGGGAGGCCTCGGGTCAGCCCCTGAGGACCTCCTGCCAACAGAGGCAGGCCAAGGCCAACTCTAGCCAGGGCCTCCACAGGAGGGGGAATTTTCAGTGGGGACAGAGCATGGCTCTGGGCCAGGAGACCCAGGAGTCGAGTAAATGTGATAGGTAAGGAAGGCCCTTCTGCTGGCTCTTGGCTCACCCACCTTCCTCATTTCAACACTTCCCTGCAGTTCGATTCCAAGCTCTGAGCAGGACTTCCCTGTTACAGGGGCAGATATATCATGGGCTGTGCGCCTGGCTGGGATGGCCGATTTGGTGGAGGGTGGGTGGGTAGTGTCCAAGGCCTTGTCCCCCAGGGAGGGAGGGAGACTGAGGACACCCCAGGCTCCCAGAGGACAAAGGAGGGAGGAAAATCGGGACACCTGGAAGGCCAGAGAAGAGGGACTGAAGGTGGTGGCCAAGACCAGCGCTGTGAAGATGTGAGGCCAGGCCAGACAAGGGCGAGCCCTGACCCTGACCACAGGGCTCAGTCCCCAGGAGGTCAGTGATCTCGGGCTCCCAGGTGAAGGGAGAGTGCAGAGCCCTGATTCTCCGTTTGGCTCTGCGTCTGAATCCCTCGATGAGTTTAGAAAAAGATTCTGACTTAATTGGTCTGGGGTGTGGCCTGAGCCTGGGGATTTCTTTCACACCCTCAGGGTGATTCTGATTTAGCTGAGAGGCACTGGTGCCCACAAATCACCCTGAGACCCCCTTAAAGTGTAGGTTGTGCCTCAGGTCTATGGTGGAGCCTCAGATTCTGAAACGTCCCAGGTGATGCACGTTCTACTGGTCCAAGGATCATACCTAGAGTACCCTCGAGTAGCAAGGTGGTTTCCAGAAAGATCTAGATGAGACGGGGAAGGAGGCTGGGCATTGCATTCCCAGCAGGAACCCTACATTCGCCTCTGCCAGGAAGGCTACAGGCAGCAGTCGGAAATGACTCTGCCTGTATGTCCCCTTTACAGCACAGCTTGGAAATTTGGGAGTCCGTGTCTGTGCGTCCCAGTCCCAGCATGGACAGACATGCACCCTGGACCACTTTCTCAAATGTGAATCCCCCTCTGAACAGGAGTCCTGGGAGGCAGGGGATGGCAGGTCTGTGTCCTGGAGCATGGACAACGTGAACCTGCACTCCCTGGCCAACCTGCCCGGCTTGGTGTCTGCGTGGACGCCTGGGCCCTTGTTCACTCTCCCTTCAGACTGACACTCCTGTGCGCCCTCTGCTGGGCTGAGCCAAGAAAGGACACTGCTTTCAGGCATCCCGGAGCTGGGGGTGGGAGGGGGGGTACCCATGTGGGGTCACAGCCTGGTTGACCAGAGGGAAGTCAGGGGCTGCAGGAGCCCAGAAAGGGCACTGGGAGCAGTAAGGCTTCCCAGGCAAGCAAAGGTTGGATGTGACTTGGGAGTAGGTGAGGACAGGAGGCAGTTTTTGGAGTGACCCAATACCCTAGGTCTCAGGGCAACTTCAGCTTGCTCCAGAGGGCAGTGCAGGGATTGGGAGGGACTGTGGACCCATGGAAGGGGCTGTTGTGTCTACGTGGGTGATGGGATTCGGGGGAGGTATCTGGGCCAAGAAAGATGGTGGTTCTGGGTTTCTCTGGAAAGATCCTGACAGACTAGGAAGTGGCACTGTCTGGATGTGGAGGTGGCTGAATGAGGGGGCTTGATGGGGAAAACTGGGGGTTGCGGGACTCTGGTGCCCTGGAGATGGAACACCAAGCCTTGTCCCTGGAGATGCATGGAAGGGTGGGCTTAGGGGCATATTTCCCAGGGTGTCTGGGGCCTTGGGAGTGCAGGAAAAGGGGACAGTGCCCTTTGGGCCTCACTGCCTGGCTTTTCTCATCAGTGGTAACTGCCCAGCTTCCTGGGTGGTGTAGAATCAGAGTAACTTGGAACTGGGCCTGGCTAGAGTCAGGGTGCATAGTATACCTCCTGGCCTCACCTTCTCTGTCTGTAAAAAGGGGCCCCTGGACCTACCTCCTCCCCACGTTCTTGCGAGGGTCCCAGGCAGCCACAGGCTTGGTGGCAGGAGGGCTGGGAACCACTTGCAAACATTTCCCAAGCCGCCTCCCCTCTGAATCCTCACAAGAACTCCAAAGGGCAAGCATCCTGACACCCATTTTAAGGACTAGGAAAATGAGATGCAGAGAGGTTTCAACTCTCCCGCAATCACAGAGTGGTGGTTCCAAAGCTTCTGGCTGAGAAGGGGGAGCGGGGGAGCTCAGGAGGCCCTGGAGCCCCAGGGTGCCCTCATGGCCCATCTGGGAATGCCCCACAGTTGGTGCTGAGTGACAGCCGCCTGAGTTGGGGCCTGGAGGTGCTGGAGGAGTGGACACCCAGCCTGGGCCACCTGAGCCTCAGCTGTGACCCCATCCAGGACACTGAAGCCCTGAGGCCCCTTGTGAGGCCGCAGGCAGTGGGGTCCAGGTGGGCCAGGTCCTACGGGTGCCCCACTCTCCCTTACTGCCCTTCCCAGGAGAAACTGCAGGGCCTTCGGAACCTGGGACTGTTCGACTTCAAGGAGACACAGCAGCTGCACTAGTGGGACTAGCTGCACAGGTGTTTGAGCCGTTACCCCAGCTCGGCTACCTGGATGGCTTCGATGCTGGGGACTGCCCAGCTCCGAGCCCAACACGCTGGGGAACGAAGATTCCAAGGAGCACTGTTCGGGGTGATGAGGGGAGCAGGAAGAAGATGGGAGGGTGGCGACTGAGGGAGCTGCCTGGGGACTCCACCCAAGGGGTGACGGTGTCTTGTTGGCTGCAGATACTGAGGAAGAGGTGACAGAGGACAACTCTGATGAGGACTCAGAAGCTGGACTGGAGGTAAGGAGTGAAACAGGGTTCTGTGGGGCTGGGGACCTGGTCCTGGGGTTTTTGCTCACCGGATGGAGAGAGGGAAGTGGTGAGTATGGCCCTAGGAGGAGGTACAGAGGTTTAAGATGGGGCCTTGCGGGCTACTAGGACAATAGGATATTCATCCAGAGAGCTATGGGGAGCTATTGAAGGGTACTGGGCAGGGGAGGGGCACAATCAGAGGAGACCCCTGTTTCCAGGGGCGTTCAGGCTGGGAGGGAAGGCAGGAGGGGTTGCCTCTGGTGCTCTGGGCAGGGGAGAGGTTAGAGGCCTGGGCTAGGGGACCACAGGGCTGGAGAGGAGCAAGATGCAGGAGGTAAAACCCAACTCTGAAGTGTGGCTGCCAATAATTTCCGTACCCAGCTGGGCTGACCCACAGGTTCTGGTGACAGCAGTGTGGCACCAGATTTTGAACCCTGGCCCAAGTTTGACTTCCCACAAAGGAAAGGAAGAGGATGTATATGGGGGAAAGGTGAGGCGGGAGGGTCCCAGGCTCTCCACGGCTGGCCTTGACCCACCCTCCTCCTCAGAGCTGGGGCAGGGGGAGAAGGGGAAGTGGGCAGCCAAAGACAGAGTCCAGAGGTCAGATAGGAGGATGACGATGCAGCCTGAACACCAGCCTGCCACGGAGTGCCCAGCCCTGGGGGCCCTGGCACTGCCCTTCCACTGCTAGGACTGCCTCCCACCCTGTCACCTCCTTGAGGGTCAGCACTGGCCTCAGGATAGGGGAGCAGTGTGCTCCAACAGGGCCAGCTCCCAACTCCTGGGGCTTTTTAAATAAACCAGGAAAACTTCCATCTTATCTAGCTTCTGAAAGTGGTGGGACAGGACAAAGGGCCACCTACAGCTGTTCTAGCATTCAGGTGACAGGGGATGTGCGTGGGACACTGGTGGGCTGTGAGGGAGGCCTTTCCCCTCCCCCAGTGGGAGCGCCCCAGGAGTGCCAGATTGGCCTTCTCACTGTGCACTGGAGGGGCGAGGGACGCAGACACAGCACCGGCTGGCTCATCTGCCTCCTTTATTGTGTACCCCACTCCGACCATCTGAGACCCCCCTAAAATTACAAAACTACCCACACCCCACATCCCACCCCCACCAACGCGGCTGGGTTCAGAGCGGCGAGAAAACCGGACACTCCCCCTCTGACAGCAGCTGCGACATCTGGGGTGCCAGCGGGACGAGGTCTGGGTGGGGCAGAGGAGGGGGCGCCTGAGCCTCGGCCCCGCCCCTC